GAGGCCTGGAGCTCTGCAGCAGACGACGGAGAGGCCTGGAGCTCTGCTGCAGACGACGTAGAGGCCTGGAGCTCTGCAGAAGATGATGGAGAGGCCAGGGGTTCTGCAAAAGAAGACGGAGAGGCCAGGGGCTCTGCAGCAGGAACGGGAACTGATTCTTCTGCGGCAGGAACAGGAACAGAATCTTCTGCTGCAGGAACAGGAACAGAATCTTCTGCAGCAGGAACGGAATGTTCTGCGGTAGGAACAGGAACAGAATCTTCTGCGGCAGGAACGGAGACTTCTGCAGCAGGAACAGGAACTGAATCTTCTGTGGCAGGAACGGAGACTTCTGCGGCAGGAACAGGAACAGAATCTCCTGCGGCAGGAACGGAGTCTTCTGCGGCAGGAACAGGAACAGAATCTTCTGCAGTAGGAACGGAGTCTTCTGCAGCAGGAACAGGAACTGAATCTTCTGCGGCAATAACGGAGTCTTCTGTGGCAGGAACGGGAACAGAATCTTCTGTGGCAGGAACGGAATCTTCCTGGACCCCCTAGGAACAGGAGAGGTGAGGAGCGTCTGATGGAACCACCTCGGAACAGGAGAGGTGAGGAGCGTCTGTCGGGACCCCCTCGGAACAGGAGAGGTGAGAAATATCCGTCTGGACCCCCTCGGGACAGGAGAGGTGAGGAGCGTCTGTCTGGACCCCCTCGGAACAGGAGAGGTCAGGAGCGTCTGTCTGGACCCCCTCGGAACAGGAGAGGTGAGGAACGTCTGTCTGGACCCCCTCGGAACAGGAGAGGTGAGGAGCGTCTGTCTGGACCCCCTCGGAACAGGAGAGGTGAGGAGCGTCCGTCTGGACCCCCTCGGAACAGGAGAGGTGAGGAGTGTCCGCCAGGACCCCCTCGGAACAGGAGACGTGAGGAGCATCCGCCGGGACCCCCTCGGAGCAAGAGAGGTGAGGAGCGTCCGCCGGGACCCCCTCGGAGCAAGAGAAGTGAGGAGCGTTTGCCGGGACCCCCTCGGAGCAGGAGAAGTGAGGAGCGTCCGCCGGGACCCCCTCGGAGCAGGAGAAGTGAGGATCCACCTCGGGGGCTGCGTGCAGCGTGGGATCCACCTCGGGGGCTACATGCAGCATGGGATCCACCTCGGGGGCTGCGTGCAGCGTGGGATCCACCTCGGGGGCTGCGTGTAGCGTGGGTTCAGAGATGGCAGTGACTACAGGGGTCTTTAAAGTCCCTATCTTTGTTAGCAATAGACTGTACTCAGGAAGCCTTGCAAGACCAGGAATAGATAATAAAAAATCCTCCATCTGGGACAACACGATGTTGATGGAAGCCGGGTTAGCTTTAGCTGAACGGAATAAATCTAGTAAAGTTTGGTTTATTTGCATAATTTCATCGGGTGAAAATGAAAATATGAAGGGAATGTCTCTATGTGCGGGTGTGGTAATGGGTGCCGCCCCCACCGGAAACCTGGAAGGTGAGGCGGCGGAACACGCCCCCATGGAGTCACTGGGAATACGCTTGGGAGGTACTGTCAGGCTGGGTCGGACAGCCGGAGCGCGGTGTGGCGGTGAGAGGCCGGATTCCGCCCTCACCAGGAACCTGGAAGGTGAGGCTACGGAACCCGCCCCTGTGGCGTCAAGTGGACCGGACTCACCGAACCGAACAGGAGTGGACCGGAGCTCCCGCGGGACGTTGGATCTCGCCCCCACCGGAAACCTGGGAGGTGAGGCGGCGGATCCCGCTCTCACAGAAACACCAGAACCAGCTCTAAAATTCTGCTTAGCCGACGAGACCGGGCCGGTCGCCGCGGACTGGCCCCGGAACCGTTTTCTGCCTCTACGGCGGCAGTGGGAAAGCAGAAGGACAGGGATCGAGTGGAGCTCGTCCATCTATGGCTCGTGGAGGGAAAAAGAAAAAAGGTGAGTTTGCCGAGAGAGACCCTGCCCGCTGGGTTCTGGTTTGGTCGCGTCGTAATGTCAGAATTTTCGAGGCAGGAGCGAACCCAGTAGTGCAGACAGGGACTCAACTCAGCAGAATACAAAAATAGGTATTTAATGATAAATAAAGATACAAAATAACAGGCTGACGGGGCAGCAAAACTTACATATACAGGAAGATAAGGCTCGGGAAACTCAGGAGGACTCGGAAGACTCAGGGAACTCGGAAGACTCAGGGAACTCGGAAGACTCGGGGAACTCGGAAGACTCGGGGAACTCGGAAGACTCAGGGGAACACAGGAGACCCAACGAGTATGACGCGACAATGAACAAGACTGTCAGACAGCTTATATACAGGGACAAGACGAGACGTGATTACCAACAGCTGTGACGAGACAAGGATGGCACTAATTGAACTAAAGAGAGAGCACTAGGAAACACAGACACAAACCGGGCCACCAAAAGGTACCATCCTTACAAACTATTTCAGATTGTTAAGAAGAAGAATTTAAACCATGAACAATTTAATTTTTGTTTACCATTGTTGAGAGAGGTTATGGGATCATCAACAAGATATCATAAGATACAGCAGAGAAAATTATTCCTAACACTCTAAAAATCATTCTGAACAGGATTTATGAAAAAAAGACAAAATCTCTACTCAGCTGTTAGTTTATTAAAAATAAAAAATGGCATTGTGTTCACAAATAAATGTTGTTTTTTTGCAATGCAATATTTAATACATTTAAAAATTTATAACAATAACAACTATTGAAGACTATGGAAGACAGAGAGTGGTCAAAATCTCACCCCCAGACAAAATTAGCTACATGGGCTCAACTTTAAAAAGGGAAGGTGATCAATTCTGCACAAATATTTCTTGTAAAAAGTGAAGTTAAAGTATAATTAAAAAGTGTTTTATTATTATTATTATTAGACCTTTGTTTATACAGGTTATTTCCCATTAAGCCTCGAAGACTCATTTACAAGAG